AATTTGACTTTCCATAGAAGGCCAATATTCGAGCTGTCCCTTATCGGAGAGCTCATTAAAAAGTGAAAGCCGAATGTCAGCTATGCTAAGAATTAAGTCATGTTCATGTCGTCCTCTGCTGACCGGAATGCGGCCCTATAAATTGGGTCATTTGCCAATAGCAAGAATGCCACTTGCACTTTCGATAGCTGCTCGTTCAGAGCTGAGGCACGTCGTTGTAGTTGTAGCCTCCATTATAATATTAACCTTATAAATTGGGCGGGACAGTGTGGGGCGGAACGGGGCGTGCCTGATGCCATACTTTGGCAAACTTGCGTGCGACCAAAAAGACAGCCAAATGACACCAGCAGCAGCAGCAGCAGCAGACGAGCGGGTGGGACATGAATGGGTACGGACGCCCGCACATCCGCAGTCAGGGTAGCCAGCCGGATGGCTGAAGTACACCCCCCGCTCGCTGCCCTCCGTGTGTTTCCAACAAGTTGGAAAACTGACAAAGTAGCAGCCGGGCCATTTCCTTTTGTTTAAGCTTGCCTCAAACTGGCCAACGGTGGGGCAAGTGTCGGAATAATGGCGTTGCCACATCCTACGACACATACTTGTGCACTAACATCTATATACATTATGTGTGTGTGAGCATGTGTGTAGGCTCGTTCATCGTCTCCATATTGAATATGCACCGGCCGAGACCCCATAACCGATTGCAGCCGTGCCCCACCCTCCCCCACCCGCAGCACATTCCGTTATAAATTGACCGCATTATTTTGCTCAATTTAACTCGAGTTTGCGGCAAAGTTTTCAACTTAATATCTCATAAGTGGCGAGTGTGCATATTGAACAGGAGCCACCCTTGCTGCACCATCCGCTGCACCCCTATCACATTTCCGCTAGCCGCTGCCAGTTGTAAAATTAACAGTGTCCGTGCTGCTCGCTGCACGCTGTCGGCTCACCCTCTGCTCGATGTCCTTTTGCCGTTTACCATTTACCGTTTACCATTCGGCTTTCTCGCTTTCGTTTGGCATAATTTTTTTATTAGGTCACGCCATGGCGGCCATTGCAGTGGCAGCGATGGCAGCGACAGTGACAGCGACGCCGGCAGCGCTGCAGCTGCAGCCACTCTCACTCTCATTCGCTGCATACTTTCGGGCGGGCAGTTAAAATTTTTATGCATTGCGCCSCAAACATTTCTCATTCGTTTCGAAATGCTCACAGTTTGAAATTATTTAATTACATTCGGCGCATACTAATGATATTTCATTTGCATTTTATTTTCATAATCAAAGTTCAGATAAATGCGGGCGCGCTATAATTAGATTAGCGAGTTCATGCATTAACTTATTCACGCAGAAAGCGCAATGCAAATTCTTTGGGCTTCGGTTCAATAATACAATGCAATGCATCCATATTATGCCAATTGTATATTCCCCCTATGAATATAATTAAAATTGCATTAAATAGTAATAAAATGATTATAAATAGGCTAACTGAAAGCAGATATTTCAATAATTTATGTACATATCATTTTATGTACATCTCTGCTTTTAAAATTTTAATTGAAAGCCGATCATTAAATAATCTATAATGTAATAATAATAATAATATATTATGTACACCTTTGTTTTGAAAAGCTAAATTAATACAAAGATTATGGTATCATATTTAAGCCAAAAATGTTTAAATAATTATATCTTGCCATGACTTCAGCTTATACTTATGAAAACAAAAATTTAATCATAATTTTAATTACGCTTTTCATATTTCTTGAAAAAGTATCAGACGTCCAACTCTCATAATTTTAATTAAACCTTTTTATGAACTCCACATTCCCTTTAGATTTTGCCCATCTACGGAATTAATTGAAGCCCTGAAATGGTTGATGCTTTCGTTGGATCCTCTTAACATCGAAAGCTGAATAATGGCTATCGAGTCTGAAGATTGATGTAAACTTTAAAGTCCGCGCATAAACAAAGTCTCATAATTATATTTGGAGCGCACTTGAAGCCGAACGAACGAGGGAGAACGGTAGGACCGAAACTCATTAAAAGAAATGTGCGCCGTTCCGTTCCGCATAGACAGCGAAAAAATTATAATTTAGTACACTTCAGTTTGCCCATTAATAAGGTGCAAAGGCTGGAGGAGGCAGCTGCGGGCAGCCTGTCAACCGCTGCAGCGACAAAACCCGACCCGATGCGACCTAACTAAACATTAAACGAATTTAGGAGGTCAGTCAAGTGCGGACAGGGTGAGGCAGCTGGGGGAGGGGATGCTCAAGTATCTCAGCGAGTAGCACTGGCAGGAGTGGCAGGAGATGAGGGGACGCAAATCAATGGCTGGGCCATGCTAACGGCAGGTGGCTGTGCCCGGTGCCCGGTGCCCAGTGCCACAGGCAGAAGTCAAGTCCTCTGCTGCTGTCACTCCCTTTGTTTATTTACCCACTCTGCAGTGAGATGGTAGCTGAATCTGGTGATGCTGCTGTTGATGCTGCTGTTGATGCTTCTGCTGCTTGGCCACATTAAATGAACGCCCAAGTGTCACGTTGCAGTTTATTTTTTAGCCTGCTTCAAGCGTGCCGCAAGCCTTGGCCAAGTTACGCGCGCCACGCCAAATGAAGTTCAGAGGGAACTAATGCCAGAGCGAGCTTGGGCCACAGCAAGCTACAAGGCAACAGAGGACAGCTGCTTCGAAGCGGCAGCATGCATGTGGCAAGTTGTTGTACTTGTAGTTGTTGTTGTTGTTGCCGTTGCCATAACTACATTTAACTGGTCTCGCACGCAGCTTTTTTTTTCAAATTTTGCTTTGTTGGCCAGATAATGAAAATGCGAGCCCGAAAACGAGCTCAAAGCCCAAAAGTTTTGAATATTTAATTTGGAATTAACTAAAGTGGCAGCGGCATGCCGGAGTTATTAGTTGAGGGCACTCTTTGTTGCACAAGCTCACGTTTGCTGCAGCGGCTTATGTTGCCTTACATGCTGATGCGTATACGCAGCGTGGGTCTAGTTAAAAGTTTGGCCTACATACTGCTTACACACATACCATATACAGTTTGTCACAGCGAATTAAGAGTGCTGAAAGCCAGCCTCGAAAGTTGCTCTGCGCTGAGCCTGAGCCTGGGCCTGGGACTGGGTCTGAGTGTCTTGCTTTAAGAGGCTTGCTTGCAAATGGAAGTTCCTAAAACCGTTTTCAATGAAATGCAAATCAAACTGTACACCAAATCCAACTGACTCCTCTACATGTGTATCGATAGAGTTCTATTATGCTGTGGGATGGTGCTCGGTCCGTCTGGTTGCCCTGGCGGCTGGTGGCATTTGCTTGCTTTAACTGCTGGTGCCAGCCCTCTTTGCCTCGGTGCTTGGCCTGTCTGTCGCACCGTTGTCAGAGAAAACTTTCGACTTATCTCTTAAGCCGCATAACTTTGCATAAATATGAAGCTATTCAACAAAACTACCACAAAGCTTTGGAGTCAGAGCCCGACAGCAGCATGAAAACATTACAAAAACTGCCCTCAGACCAACCAACGGATTTCATGTCAACAGCATCAGTAACAACGAACAGCCAGGAAACTATTGTCTGTCCCTGTTTGTGGCGGAGAAATACGAGTCCTGGCATCTTATTATATTTATTACATTAAAAACAACAACGCAAACAAAACTAGTCAAAAGACTGTGCGAACAACTTTTCCGATGACGGCACTACTTTAAGAGATTTGCATAAATTTGCCGAGCGACAAAAAAGAAAGAAAAACAAAGAAAATATGTTGAGCCCAAGTCAGAGGCCAGGACTATTATACAACCTCTACTTTTCCCACACCTCCCTCCCCCCACCCCTTCCGAGAAAGTCATTTATTTAACTGTCAATGCCGTTGTTCTGCGGCTACGCAAAAAATGGCGAAAATTCAGAGCGATCGTATACTACAATATATAAATACATATATTTATATACATGTACATATATATGTA